ATTATTCCCACTGCATGATTCAACACATGACGTACAAAAGAGAAAAAAAGAATGGTATTAGCCCAACCAAACCTCGGTAAATGTCTATTTTAGCCATTTATTTTAATAAATTTATAGGTTTTAGTCTCTCACGTTATATTATAATATTTTTAATATTTTATCTATATAAATTGAAAAAAATAACATTTATTTAATGTCTTATTAACTGACTGTTAATTCTGTTAGCTGATTATTAGCATTCATTCCGTTATAGAAAATATGAAATTTAAATTTAATATTATTTGTTAGTTTTGTTAACAAAATATTAATAATTAGTTAATAGAATTGACAATCAATTAATAGAACTAATAATCAACTAACAAAATTAACAAAATATTATAATCTGATGTTAAATAAGAGTTATTTCTTCAATTCGTATAAGTGAAGAGTTAAAAATGTCATAGTATAAGATAAGGGGTTAAAATTTAAATTTATTAAAGTAAAGGGCTAAATTAGGTTTTTGCCAACAAACCTAAAGGTTTTTGCCCAATCTAAAACTTCAAAAGAAAAAAAAGGGGAAATATGCTCCAAGTCCTTTCCGTATTGGGTATATGCCCCCAATTTTTAGGATGCTAACGATATTTCCCCTAAGACTTTTTTCCACACAATTGCACTTCAAATCTTTTTAAAACTATAGAAATCAACACCCATTGTTGGGCAAAAATCTACTTTGAGTTTCTCACCTTACCAAGTTTAAAGGTTTTAGCTATTTACCTTATACTATAACATTTTCAACCCCCACCTTACTAGATTTGTAAGTTTTAACCCCTCACTTATTAAAATCGAAAAAAATAACTCTTATTTTATATTGACTGTTAATTTTGTTAACTAAAAGTAAGTTTTTATTAATTAATAGTCAATTAATAAAATGAATGAAATATTATAAAGTTAGTTTTGTTAACTCTATTAGTTAAAAGAAAGTTTTTGTCAGTTAACAGTCAACTAATAAAATTAACAGTCAGTTAACAGAACTAACAAAAAGTTACAAAGTGAGGGCTCTTTTCTTTAATTTTATATATGAGAGGTTAAAAGTGTTATAGTATAAGGTAATAAGTTAAAACCTACAAATCTAATAAGGTGAAGGGTTAAAAATGTCATAATATAAGATAATGGGTTAAAATCTTTAAATTTGATAAAGTGAGGGACTAAATGTAGACTTTTGCCCCATTGTTGACCTTTGTTTGTTCTTCTAAACATTTGGGGTGAGAATTTAAATAAAGAACATTTCAAACAAAGACAATCATTCCAAACAATTTTTTTAATTTTCCTTTACTATTTATGTCGATACCATACCCTCTTTGTCACGTGACCTGAATTGCCAATTTCCTTTCTCGCAGCAGACCAACGCACCGGAGCAGAAAGAGGAAGAAATGCTCTCAACGTCCACCCGATGGCAAATCTCACTCCCCACAAGACCCGACACACTTTCACCGCCTTTTTGTTCATCCTCCTATTCCTCCTCAGCATCTTTCTCTTCAGTAAACGTGCCCTCGAGCCTTACCTCTCCCTCTACCAAGATTTCTCTTCCTCAATCAAAACCCGAACCTCCTCTGACTCTGTCATTCCTCTCCCTATTGCTGACCCGTCTTCCGGTGAGGTCGCTTCTCCAATTTTACAGCCTGAAAAGGTAAGTCCCAGTTTTGGAGCTGAGAACATCGACGATCAGGTCTCCAGAGAGGATGGGGACAACCCAGTAGTAGCAACACAGCCTGTTGCGTCGCAGAAAGAAAGAGAGCCTAACATTAACTCTGCAGATAATGGGACAAACCCAGTTGCAGAAAATAAGCCAATTGCGTCCTCGAAAGAGGAAAGGGAGTCCATTAGACCAGAGAAAGAAGAAAATCAGCTCTCTAAAGATGATGGAACAAACCCAGTTGCAGAAAACGAGCGAATTGCATCCGTGAAAGAAGAAAAAGAGTCCATTGGATCAGCAGAAGAAGAAAATGAGGCTACAGGTGATAATGGAGATGAATTAGCGGTTGAAAATATGAAAATTTGTGATCTTTACGCAGGGACGTGGTTGAAAGATGAAGAGTATCCGATTTACAAAGCAGGGTCCTGTCCTTATGTTGATGAGGCTTTTGATTGCCAGCGCAATGGAAGAAGCGATTCCGATTACTTGAGATGGCGTTGGAAGCCTGATGGTTGTGATCTTCCAAGGTTTGTGATTTCTTGAGATTTTGTTATATTTCTTCAGTCTTCAATTATAATTGTTTTGTTTCAAGTGTCACTTTGTCTTGTGCAGAAATTATTTCTTGTAATAAATGGAGAATTTGTTCATTTATAAATTGTTTCATACTTTTAAGAGCCATAGTTTTGCTGGCTGTCCATGTTTTTGATGGTATCTATTTCATGGCATTCGTTATTTTGTAAACATGACGGCCTTTGCAGTTTCTTACATTATAAGTCCTTCAAGCTTTGATGTATTAATAGCTTTAAGTGCTTCCCAAGGTGGCATTTAGTTATTTAGATTTAGAAGATGTGTGTTTTGGGGTGGCTGCTAGCAAGACAATTAACTTCCCTGAAGGATTGAGTGTTGAAAATTTGAGTTATTTCATGCATATGAACAAGCCTCATCCGCAATGTTGCTTCTCCAATATCCTGTGCTCACATAAGAAATAGAAGGGAAGATAGAAGAGGCCTTGGCCCCCATCTTTTGTGGTCAAATAATTGGCTATTAGTGATTATGCTGAGGAAACCTCATTGGGTAACCCAAGCTTGTTTGCCAACCACAGCATTGGATGTTCATGGAAATTATTTTTACCATTGAGGTTGGTGACTAGAGTCACCATGACTGGAAAACTATATGTTTTAGCAATCATAAGGGACAATCCAAATTTAAGTTTGTTCCTGATAATATCGTAGTAAAATCATCTTCATTCTATTGTGTGGAGCTTTAACCTTTGCTTTGACAGGAGGGGCCCTTTTCCCTTAATTTCGGTGCCATTGCCACTACTGGAAACAGTGTCAATTTGCACATAAGTATCATAATTTTAGAATTTCGATGAAAATATTTTTCTAGCTTGGTTTTGCTGTTCTTCAGATTCATAAGTGCATTTGTTTTCTGCATTTATCTTTGATTGCAGGTTCAATGCTACAGACTTCTTGGTGAGACTAAGAGGTAAAAGGCTGATGCTTGTTGGTGACTCAATGAATCGCAATCAGTTTGAATCTATCCTATGCCTCTTGCGTGAAGGCCTACCTGATAAGAGCAAAATGTATGAGATCCACGGCCACAAAATAACGAAAGGCAGAGGCTACTTCGTATTCAAATTTGTGGTATAGAAATATTTTTCTTATATTGCTTCTTTTTAATACAAGTTGTCCTGAGTTAGTTTTGGTAAAGGAAGGTTGCATCTAATAGTTAAGCATCTCTAACAGTTATAACCTTTTGGTTTAATCAGGAAATTCAAATGTGTTGGCCTAAAGAAAGAAAAAGGGTTTTGGGGGGAATGTTTCAAATATAGCAAGTTACTGTCTAAATCAACTCGCCATGTAAGCTAGTTCAATAATCTGGTATCCTTTTCAATAGAACTAGTTAGACTTCAGTAGCTTCTCAATTTTGTGTCTCTTACAAGTAATTGCATAAAAAATAAAAAATAAAAACACTAAGTTGCTTGAAAATTTTTTTGATACAACTAGAAGTCTTCCATCATTCTTTTCTCCTTTGAACTTTAGTTTCATAACGAGATGCAGTAGTCTGATCCTGCTTGAGAGGCCTTTTTGTAAGGTTTTACTGCAATATAATGAATAGATATAATGCTCAGATCAGCATTTAAGTAATTAAACTTACGGAAGAACCACTAGTGGACCATGCATGTTAATAAAGGGAACTATGGTAGATTGGCTGTTACTAGTTGATAATCTCAAAGTTCTCTGAACTGATTGGGCAGGAATATAACTGTACAGTGGAATTTGTAAGGTCACATTTTCTTGTGAAGGAAGGAGTCCGCATTAATGCCCAAGGAAACTCAAATCCCACGCTATCAATAGATCGAATTGACAAGACATCTGGGCGTTGGAAGAGAGCTGACATTCTTGTCTTCAATACAGGTCATTGGTGGGTTCACGGAAAGACTGCTCGTGGGTATGTCAATATGTCTGTAATCTTTTTCTTTTTATGTTTTCATATGTCCTTATTTAGTTGTTTTTACAATGGAACAATTGTGCTTGTCTGGGTTATTTATCTTGAAAGGCACTGATGCCTTCTTTTGATGGTTGTTATGAATTTCTTACAAATTAAAATATAGAGGTGCTTGCATTTGCACATGAATTTTAGTCTACCATGTGGAATATGATGGATATCAGCTGATCCAGGATAAATTACTACAAAGAAGGAGATTATCTTTATCCAAAGTTTGATGCTGTTGAAGCTTATAGAAGAGCGTTGAGGACTTGGGCAAAGTGGGTTGATCAAAACATGAAACCAAGAAAGCAGTTAGTCTTCTATCGTGGTTACTCTTCTGCCCATTTTAGGTATATTCTACCCTGTAAAGCTGCTCTTTAACCATTTAAAATTTAATCAATTCAAGGCTATATGGCTATACCTTTTATTCATTTTTGTTTTTCAAATCAAAAGTTCAGGATTTCAAATAAAGCGTGGCATTAATTCAAATAGTTATGTTGTCTATATACTTCTTTATTTTTCTCCTAGCTTGCATTGTTCTTTCCTTTTCCCCCCTTTCTTTCAATCTTGTTATCATTAAAGAGCTTGAAATTTATTCATCTCTTGCCTTTTGTTTTTCCTTGCATGAGAAGTAGGAACTTTGTAATTGTCTTATGAGGCTGTAAAGAATATAAGTTTATCATTTTAATGGCGTTTTGGAAAATGTTATTTCTCCCCAAAAACTGTATTATCCATCTGCGTATGTGTATGGTTTGAGCAAGCTTATTGATATGATTTTCTGAAACAGAGGTGGAGATTGGGACTCAGGTGGATCGTGTAATGGGGAGACTGAACCAATCATGAGAGGGGCCTTCCTTGAAACCTATCCTTTGAAGATGAAGATAGTTGAGGAAGTGATTAGGGAAATGAAGGTTCCGGTTATCCTGTTAAACGTGACAAAGCTTACCAATTTTCGCAAGGATGGCCATCCATCAATATATGGAAAGACGATGATTGAAGGCAAAAAGGTGTCTACTAGGCGCCAAGATTGCAGCCATTGGTGTCTTCCTGGAGTTCCTGACGCATGGAATGAACTCATTTATGCCACTTTGGTTTATCAACAAAAATTTTCAAAGAGTTAGAGGTGACGTTCTGGGGAAATAGGCTTGGCTTCAGCTAATATATTTCTCTTTCTTCTACAAAAGAAAGAGAGAAAATCAATTATTGTCGTAGGGAGAGAATATTCATGCCATTTTTGCAGCTGAGTTTTTTTGCATGAGCTACTATGTATCTTGTGTGCCAAGTAATTTTTTATTTTTAGAACATTGGGGAATTTTGGGAGAGGGGGATATTTTTTCAAGACTTGGTGGGAGTCACCTCCCAACTAATTACGTTTAAATACTTAAGATTTTAGGACGAACTATTAGACTTGGAGGGCTGGTTCTTGTATGCCAAGTAATTATATATATATATATGTATGTATGTATGTATGCATGTATGTATGTATATATGTATGTATGTGTATAATCCTTCCTCAATTATCACAGCATGCTCAATTGATGACTTTTCTTCTTCTTATATCTGTTTTAATCTTTATATAGCATGTTTAATATGATGGAAATGGATTCGTATACCTTAAGCAAAATTTACCCTTAGAGACAAGATTAAATTACAATATTGTAACTTAGGTTAGTATTTATGAGATTTAGTATAAACAAAGATATAACTTATTAGAACTTTTTTAACTAAATTCATGTGATTTTTGTTTTTTTGAGAGAAAATTCATGTCATTTTTTCTTTACCAATTAAGACTACTATCTTTCAAAGGTTTATAATTAAGAATGTGACTATGCACATTCACTTAATCATTTTTTAGAAAATTTACAAAGGTTATATTCTTAATTAAAAATTTTTAAATGGTGATAGTCTTAATTAGTAAGGAAAAAAACTAAAAAAGCTTTAAAAGATTGTGCCCTTATTTGTATCAAATCTCAAACTTTTACCTAGTTAATAATTCATTGTACACTCCATATTTTGTCAAATTAACTTTTGGATCAATGTTTTCTTCACCATATAATAATATATATCATTAACTCCAAACGGCATACTTTGATTGAAATAATATTTCTCCAAACAAACCTAACCTGGAAATGATGGCAGTGCACAAATGATATCAATTTATAATCATAAGGTAAGATAATCAGGCGTAATTGGCTTGCTGCTGCCTCCCTAAAACGGAGGACGAGGAGAAAAACAATGATAACAAGCCGTGTGCCTGCTTATTCTTCTTAGTAATTACATTGTAGGCACATTTCAGGGCATTGGGGTTGCCAGCACTACCCCCCATCTTTGTGGAATCACAAGTTTATGATTTTCAGCTGCTCTTGTTTTTGTTTCCAACCCTTACTATAATTGGGCTGCTTAATTAGGCAAGGCCATAATCTATATTCCTCTAGATTAATTAGCATTTATTTGAATGGTAAGGGAACCAATAGCAAATGATGCATCTCTCTTTGGCTGCATTTAGAAGGAAATTACAATGCTTGTTATTTAGAAGATTTGATATTTAGGAGAGCTTAATTGCAACCTAACTTTTTTTTTTTTTTTTTCACTCCATTCACATATTATGAGACTTAAATTTAAAATCTTTGACTTTTATTGAAAAAAAATTATCATTAAATTATTTAAATTATTGACAACCTAACTATTGTATTGGTAACACATTACTAGTATATTACATCATCAAAAATGAGTTTCGTTCAATACATACATTGAATTTTATTCATTTCATTATACAAAACCTCAAATTTTTTCTACTTCATCTTAAATTTTGAATTTAATATATCTAACTTTAATTTAAGTCTTTACCGGTAGAGAGTTTTAGATATTCCCATATGACAAAATGTTTCCCATATGACAAAATGTTTGTTCATTTAGCTATTAGCTTTTGACATCATACCACGAGTATATAACTGTGATATTTTAAGCTAGTTTACTGTTCTAGTCAAATTGATAGAACTTTAAAAAACTTTATTGCTAGTTTGCTAGGTATTAAAGAGAGCAAGAATGATATACTAATAATATCATATAATATTATAATATTATAATTTTACAATTATGATATGTTATTATATGATTTATTTTTTTAATTTAAGGGTATTGTGATATTTTATGTGTTTATTCATTTAATACATGTTATAATTGTAAATTAAAATCTTATGTGATAAAGATAAAGAAATAAAAGTTAGGATGTTTTTAGTTTAATTGATTTCATTAGCCTATAATTTTTCTTCCCCTTAAACAACTACTATTTAAGTCTTTATCCGTAGAGAGTCATAAATATTCTCGCATGAAAAAATGTTTGTTATTTAGATATTAATTTTGAACATCATATCACGGGTATATAACTGTCATACTTTGGCCATCTTATTGTTTAGGTCAAACAGATAGTAAATGAAGAAAATTTATTGCTAGTTTGCTAGGTATTAAGCGAAATGAGAATTATATATTTATAATATTATGTAGTATTATAATTTTATAATTATAATATATTATTTTATATATATATATTTTTGAACATTTTTATCATGGGCCGACTCGAACCATTGACATGAGGAGAGGGATATGAATATTTACAAACGTGATTAGAGACACTTGACTCAAAAGGCCAAGTTCTTATATATATATATTTTAAATTTAGAGGTATTGTAATATTTTATATGTCTATTTATTTAATAATATGTTATAATTGTAAATTACAATCTTAATGTGATAAGGATAAAGAAATAAGAGTTAGGGTGTTTTTGTTTGATTGATTTCATTAGCCTATAATTTTTTTTCCTTAAGGACTACTAAAGGTGTTTATAAACTTCAACCCATAAATTGATTTTAAATTATTAAATAATATATATTAATAGTCTTGTCGGACAATTTACTGTTCCTATCAGTCCAATCAATAATGGGCTAAACTCCTTATATTTATGTCTAGGAAACTAAAACGTACACCCACGCGTGGATGAAAAAGTGCTTACTAATTAAACCACTCAGGAAAAATATTTTAAAATTATATTATTTTAATAAATTTTTATTAAAAATATTAAAATAACTTGTTTTAAAAGTAATTATGAGATTATTTTGGTTTTTTATTGTAATATTTTAATAAAATAAAGTAATTTTAGAATATTTTTCTTCTCGATTGATAGACATCAATATTAAATATATATGAGATATTTATTATTCAATCAATTTTTATACATTTTAAAACTAATTTTTTTTTATGCAATTTTAAAAACGCATCCCCACAACATTTAAATTAATTCTCTTAGATGTTAACATGGCGATCTCATATATACATATAAGTTTTACACATCTTATTTGTATAAAATTTTAATTATTTTTTTATTTTTAATAATTAAGATTTATTATAATTTTTTAAATAAAAAAATAATTATATTTAATAAATATGATAAAAAATAAATAAATTTTAATTATTAAAAATAAAAAAATAAATAATTAAAATTTTATATAAATATAATAAGTAAAACTTTCATGTAAATAAATTCCTATATAAATTTATTTATTACTCTAATTATGAGACCTCCATAGCTAACTAATATAATCTACTTAATTATTAATAGAAGGAGGGGAAACGTTGACGCTGAATGTCTCCCATTATGGGGGCTAATTAATATTCATTGTCATTCAATGAATTATTGGGTTTAGACTAATACTCCATTTACATGGGGATTAACTATTTGTTAATCTACTTTTGTACCAAGTGCCAACGGAGCCGCCCTGCAATTTATTGTTAAGGACCACAGCCGCTTTCTCTTCTTTTTTCCCGCATGAAGGACACAATGACAGCGTCGCAGCCTTCGGAATTTGATTGAACAACGACAGTGGCGCCGCAGAAGCGGTGGCTTTCAAGGACCACAGCTCTTTCATCTCCTTCTTCAGCCTCCGATTCTCGTTGCTTAAGTCCTCGCAACGTCTCTTCAAGAACTCACAGTCTACTGCGGTTTGCTTCAGCTTCGTTCTGTAACATAATACACAATTAAATGCCTTTCTTGTTCACTAGGGTAATATTAACAGAATTAAGGATGTTTTTAGCATACGTCGTTAACAGTATATTTATTATATATTTTTATTATTAATTTGTATAAAAAATTATAAAAATAAATTTTATTTTAAACATTAATATCACGTGAAATAATTTAATTAGATAGTTGTTAAAATTTATAATTTTTATTTTTTTTAATGTAAATTGATAATAAAAATATACAAACATAATAATGATATATACTCTTAATGTGTGTCCTGGAGTATAAATTAAAAAATTCTTCAAAATATTAATTAATTAAATTACAATAGCAATTACCTTGCTCTCCTATTTTGAAACCAGACTTCAACCTGTCTCGGTTTCAGATTCAATTGCTCTGACAACGCCTGCTTCTGTGCCTATATATAAATTCATCGATGATATACTTAGGGGTTATTAAAATCAACCTGAATGCACAATTCAACGAAAATTTAATTTAATTTTTGCATAGATAAGGTACAATTCCACGTGCCAAAAATAATTATTGTCTCTATTTGCACTCAAAATTTAAGCATAAAATTAGATATTTAATAAATCAAGTATCTAAAATTTGTATTTGATCTCATTTAAAAAATTTAAACACAAATATTTATTGAATTTAAAATAGTGAAACTTATACTCAAATTCATAAGTTTTTGAATAAACTCAAGCTTACTTGTGAACACAAATAAACCACTATTTGAGTTTAAATTCGAGCTTTTTCTCCTCTTATTCTAAATTGTTTTAATCACTAATCTATCAATTGTAAACTTTTCTACGTTTTTAATAAACATTACAATACCAAAAACATAAACAAGATCATCATATCAAATTTAAAAATAATAAAACAACTATAAATTTTATTTGAATATTTTTATTAATAATCTTAAAAAACTTAAAATATGTAATTTATTTAAATTATCTTTTTATTCCTATTAAGCTTATAAGATATTCTATATAAAATGCATAATAAACATATAAAATATAATTTTTAATTTTAAATAGAATACTCACAAATAACTCACAAACAAATATATGTATATAAGATTGCGTTTAAGTTCATTTTTTTTTAATCAAACTAGAGATATATATTAAGCCCTCAAACTCTCCTCATTTAATTACAAACTATCAAACAAAAGTTAAATTTTACATATATAACTTACAAGTTATTCATGCTTATAAGTTCTTCATGACTTATTCTACTTATTATCTGTTCTACTTGAGATCTCGTATCATATTCCATCTCTCGGACTGTAACATAAAATTAGAATAAAAAAATAAAAGAGCCAAGAGGATACCGGGTTAAGGTTGGCTCGCAGTTTGAAGTTGTCTTCAAGCAAACTTGATTGCTCCTTGGTGAGCTTCAATTTCTTTTTCCCGCTGATCATGTTGTTGTTGTTGCTTCTGTTATTCTTCCAATCATCTATTTCATCCTCTTCTTCTCTAGTTCTCAAGGATGAACGATCCGCCTTGGGAGCTTGCTCTTTCAGGCACAACGCGACCGAAAGGTCCAAGCATGGCGACTGATGCCTGTCCTTTTGCCTCTCCCCTCTTGGTAGATTGTGTCCGCCGACGCAAAGTCCGAGACCGAGTCTGGTGCTGCACTCTTCTTCATCAGCCATGACGAGAAAAAATGGAAGAGTTATACGGATGGAGAGATTATTGCTTAATTTTTTGGATAATTACGGATGGGGAAAGTTGGGGGCTTGGGGCAAAACAGCTGAGATTTTACACTGTTTTTATTCCTGGCCATGGAA